GTTAGTTCATTCTGCGTAGATCGGATCAAAATTATTAATTAAAAAAGCTGAAAGTACTCCGGTTTAACACTGACATCGGGACGTCAATCACCTCAATCCCCCGTGACCACGGTTGCTGGAAAGCAACCTAAACGTCGGGAATATAAAATAAGTTAATTAAACACGATAAAATCCGTAAAAATAGTTTTAGTCGACCTATTAGATTTAATACAGAACAACTATATAATATAAGTGATCTTCTTACGGTTAGGCAACTATATATCTTACAGTCAATTTTAAAAACACATACTAACTCGCCATATGATCCAAAAAAAAAAACATCTACACGGGGGAATCATAACGTTATTAAACAAATTTATGTAAAATCTAAATTGGCTGAGAGACAGTACTGTGCCCAATCAAGATATCGACACATCCATGCAATAACATCGTAACTCATTTTTTGCCCTAAATTATGTTACAATGATATTGTTATGTAAAAAAAAATACAATTTTTCTGTACAATCATTGTAATTCTGCTCCCGTTCGTTTTTAAAATATACACATGTCAAAGTATTGTAACATAACAAAAAAGTATTTTTTTTTCAACGGTATCGTTGCAACTTGATCTATAATTTATATAAAATATTATGAGTAGCAAATCAATCAAATACAATAACATTGTAACTTTATATACAATCTTTGTACATGACGAAATTGAAGAAATCACATTTCGTTAATTCCTGTAGTGGATTCACATTATGTAAGAAAAAGAACATTGTACAGGCTTTAAACGGATTGGAAGAAAGAAAATCGTCCGTTGAACAAGTGGCAAATTCTAGGCAATATAAGGACATTTTTATAACGAATATAATATTGAATTCTATAATCCAAAGAAAGACCTTTGTATTTTTTGCAACAGATATAAGAGAGGATCTGAAGAAGAAAAAGATGACATGAAGTTAGAGTACACCTTGCATATTGCGAACAAAGCAGTGGTAAGAGAGGTGAAAGAGATTTATAAGTTTTAGTCAAAACAATCTGACGTTATAGTTACAGCTGCTGACGACTTACAGAAAGTATTGACTACACATCAATCAGAAGTTTCACTCTTTTACTACAAAAGGAAGTTTGCTGTATACAGTTTTACTATATATAATATAGGAATGTCCAAAGGATATTCGTACGTCTGGAATGAGACAATATGCAAGAAAGGATCCTCAGAAATTAGTAGCGCTGTGTTTCTTTTTATTAAACAGAAATATGAAGAAGGGTTTCATATATTTAATTTTTTTCTGATTCTTGTGGCGGACAAAACCGCAATCGTATAATAATAGCTAGCTATTCCCATGCATGCAAAATATTTGGTATAACGATTACACATAACTATTTTGGAGTAGGACATTCGCAATCTGAAGGGGATGCTATGCACGCATTAATAGAGCGTCGGAAGAAAAATCTGATTATTTTTGTACCAGAGCAATGGATCACTCTTATCAGATGTGCTAAAACTACGGGGACCCCTTATGATGTTACTGAATTAGATTAAAACCTAATACTTAATTATAAAAGCCTTCTAAAGAAAAAAACTAAACTGGGACTGGAATAGTACTGGAAAAATGATGTCGTGGACTAAAATACAATATATTAAAATAGAAAACGAAAACCTGACTTAATATACTTTCAGTATGATTATCTCAGTGATCAGTACACCTTGCTGTGAAACCTACTACACGCATTACACGAACAAAAAAAACACAAGAGTCAATTCAGTGTGAACAATCAAACGACGGAGAAAGTATTCCTTTATTGTATAATAAAGTGCTCCCAATATCAACAGCAAAGCATAAGGACCTTGTGAGTTTGTGTAAAAATCTAATGCAATACCAGATATTTATCATAATTTCTATTTTAATCTTCCACATTCCACTCAACTAGCTGAAGACAACGGTAGTGATGTTGAAAATTAATAGTTATACAAAGTTAATTTCTAATTTTTTTATGTTTAAGTATTTAATAGTTTTATAAAGTCAAAGTTTGGTTTTCGGGAGAGAAAGAGATTTTTTATGGTTAAAAAAAAATATTTAGTGTAATAATTATAAGTCGGATAATAATGCTTGTATCCAGTGAAGTTTTCTAATTTGGTGTCAATAAATATTTTAATAGTACAAAATTGCTTTTTTATCCTTTAAGACAATAAAACATTATCATAATAGTTCGAAAGAAAATAGATTTATTACACGTCACATTATGAGATGATACTTTACAGATTTATTCTTGTTTGCATGAAAAAAAACTTAAATTTTACTATGAAGAATCATTTTAGTTAGCATAACACCTTGGAGTTACAATTATCTGACAACAAAAATAAAATTAACTTACAAAAATCTAAATTGTATCTCAGACATACAATGCTTGTCCTCGTAACTTATATGGACATTTCAATGTATTGTTTTCACGTAAGTCTGAAAAACCATGAAATCAACTTTTCTTTTACAACCTATCCGTACATAAAAATAGTGCACCTAAATAATATTAGATAGTGACAGCTTCAAAGATTGTACGGGTAGTTTTGAACGTGGTACATTTTTTTAAACTTTAAAATCTGTCTCCTCTACAAACATAAAAAATTAGTTACGATGGTATTGCATGCAGGTGTTGATATATGGACAATTATTTAAATAAAAAATTAAACTTTCACCGGCTTAATTATCGCGAATGTAAAAAAAATACTTACCCATCATCTTAAAAAATTATCTTATCACGCCACAGAAAACATTCTACGTCACGGAATTAAATAATATATTTGTTTATCAGAATAGAATAGAATTAAATAAAATTACATAAAAATAATAATAATACATATGCTAACGCTTTTAAGCACCTACAATCACACATACACACATTCACACACACACACACACACACACACACACACACACACACACACACACACACACACACACACACACACACACAAACACACACCTACTCTAAATCTCTCGCTAGAGAGTAGTATGTTCCTTGCTCTAAATCATAGGTAATCTTGCTTGGCTTATCTCAATATTTAATGTTATTAGGAAGAGCGGTGCCTCCTGACACAGGTATTTTTTTATCCTTACTAGGAGGCTCCAATTACTTTATTATTTAGTATGTTTTGAGAAAGAAACAAAAGGATTTTTAATTTTAATTTTTAGTGTACTATGAAGGATAATTACACATTGTAACTTCAGGCTCAGAAGGGCTAGAACCCAGAGCCGTAAAGCCAGTTTTAGAATAAATTGAGTTGCACCATAGATTACTGTATATATATATACTATAATATGTATAGAGAAGTTGCACAAACTAGAAACACCATAGAGAACAGTGTGACCATATGTGGCAGGTTCCTGCCATTTTGGCAGGATTGGCCTCTTATTTTAGCCTCCGGCATGATTGGTTGACGTTTTATAAAACCTGGCAGTATTTGGCAGTATTTGGGTATTAAAAATACATTTCATTATGGCTACTTAAAAATGCCGAAAATGGCAACCCTATGTACTTCGCCAGCATGTGGGGGATTTCCCAGTACTTTTACTTCTAGTGTTATGTTTGTAACAAACAACAGTGTTTCAATAATCAACTTTAAAAGTATGTGGGTAAAGTTGATAATCTTAAAACGAGTATTCGTAAACACGAGTTAGTGGTTAATATTTCAATCAGTCATAAAAGATAGAAGAGACGTATTTTAGTTTGTTATCGCATTAGATTTCGTGGTGACAAAATATTGTTAGCGATATTTTGTTAATGATGTTTCGTGGACGATAGCAATTATTGGTGTTGATCATAAAGCGAAAATATGAAAGGCCGTATATAGCGGAGTGGAGTAAGGTCCTTTACTTTCATCATGGATCTTCAAAGCTCAAAAATCAGATCCAAATTGGTCCCGGCTTCTGTCTGCTTTAAAGGAGCATGCCACTGCTAATAAACATAAAAAAAAACACATCCTTGAGTGTCGTGGAAAACTCGATTGGATCGAAGTTCCTTTCGTAGTGTATTATTATTGATTACCATCAGCGATTTTTCCGAACCGATACGACTTAGGGACCTTCAAGAAAAGAGCGTACTCCTTTTTAAAAGGCCGGCAACGCATCTGCGATTCTCTCCCTGGTGTTGCAGCTGTTCATGGGTGACGGTAGTCACTTACCATCTGATGAGACGCATGCTCGTTTGCCCTCTCTCCTTTAAAAAAAATATTGATATACGTATTATATTATTGATTAATAAATACAAATAAATTAATTATTAGCGTCTAAACATGAAGCGTCACTTAAAATAAAATAATATTTCTTTCATGGCAAAATAATAAAAAGTGCGAGGGAGATGGATATTATTTCATCTCCCTTTCTCGCGAGGCCGTCTACACTACGTCAGAAGGGTTCGTGACTGAAAGAAGATCTTACACTTTTTCTCGCCTAGTTCCCATCCGCTAAATTCGTACCGTCCGATAAGGAACTTCGTTCCAAAATTATGTTTGGATTCAACATGCGAAAGAATATTCTGTCAAATAAATCTAATTACGACAAAAACACGAAACAGATTTAGATATAAACAAACATGTAGCGTTTATCTTGCACGTTAAACAAGGCATTGGTGAACATGGCGATTCCATTGCATTCAAACCAACGAAAGATGTTTAATTTTAATTTAATAAAAATATGGCATTTAAATGTGTATTTTTACTTTTCTTACTTTGACACAATTAGACAATGGTAAATAAAGTTGGCAGTATTTAGGCATTTTTCACTACAGACTGGCAGGTTTTGAACCAAAGTAAGGTAGGATCTGTATTTTAAATATGGTCACACTGATAGAGAAACACTCACGTTAAGAGTTTAGTTGGTTTAGTTATCATCTACTTCCTGTATAGGACAATTACTATACTCTTTGTCATCTACATATATATTTATCTATGGTTATCATATTCAATTTCAACATTCATATTGTCCGGTTTGCGGGAAAAAGTAGGAAGCGTTATTACAATGGCGTATAATAATTTTAAACATTGTTCGTTATTACTGTGTTTAGTAGCAGTTGGTAAGTTAAAATATAATATTATTTTGAGGACTTATTTTGATACAAGAATATTTTCAAAATTATATGGTATGATGCTTCCTAAACAGAGTACTTTGTACGCTTCATTCTTCAATTGTTTACCGCATTAAATATTTACGGTTGACTGACACACCCTTTACAATACGTTCTCTTTTTTCATTTACTTTTGTTTAATTTTGTTAGGTACTTACTATCAACAACGTTTATTTATTAATACTTGACTGCTTAGTAAGCTCTTAAAAATTACTCATGTAGATAGATATTTATCTAAGAAAAGAAAACTAAAATTATAAGTTTACTTGCTTATTTATACAAAAAGTATATTTTATAAAATTTTTTCTGCCGACTTCCTAAAAGGAGACGGTAGGTACTCAATTCGACTGTATGTTTTTTTATGTGTGTTACCTCATAACTTTTTACTGGGTGAACCAATTTCGATGATTTTTTTTATTTGAAAGCTGGTACTTCACATGTGGTCCCATATAAATTTGATCAAGGTCTGACCAATAGTTTTTGAGTTATAATAATTTTTATTGAAGTCTGTTGTAGAAAATTATTAATTTAAAAATTATTTGAGTATATAAATTGAAACTTTAATTATTTTTTAAACCTATAAAGTATGTATTATAATATGCTATTTCAATTTCGAAAACATGGACTGTTTAGTATATCCATAGTGACCCATATTAAATTTTTTTTTTTAAATATAGTTTAATATTTTAGTGAAAAACGATAGTGGGGCTATCCACAGGAGTATTTATTATTACACTCTATTTTAATATGTAAATTAAAAGACAATATTTTCTATCACTAGGATTGTATTTATGTAACCATTACATAGGGCCGCATTCCTAAGCCCAGCTGGGGACTTGTGATAGGCTTTAATTAACTTATTTATTTTTTATTTATTTATTTGTTATACTAACAAGTTACATACAAATAAAATTAGGGGTTGGCTATAGAAGCCTGGTACTTGTTTTTAATTATGTTTTAGTTTAGGAGGCTTGTCAGGGTTAAGCTTGGAACTTTATATACTGTTTTTGGATTTTGGAAATGTGTTTTGAATTAATTATGTTAAAAATAAATTTCACTAACTAAAAATTGCATATAATGAAACGAGACACCCATAAAAAAGTTAATTACTCGGACCCAGACAATCCATTTGTGTTTGAAGATGGGACTCATACACAACAAATCAAGTCATAGTGGAGAGAAGTCAAGTGGTTTTTCAGAAAACAAAATTGAATAATTCGCATTACATTGTTTAATTTACCTCTATTATAGCAGTTTAGGGCAGCCTGTCTTTATAGATAAGATAGGTTGAATCTGTACTAAAACTAAATTGGAATGCCCAGACTCCACATAGTCTTGTCTGCCCTACCCCTAGATTATTTTTGTAAAGCTGTAGATGCAGAGGGAGAGCTGCCCCCGCCTGCTGTACTGCTTGCCTACACAGCTACGGCTTAATGGTTGCCTTAGGCGATCAACCTCAGCCGCTACGGCTCACACAGGTGCCTGAGATTTGCTACGCAAGGGCAAAGGGGCTACATTTACCACAGCACCGAAGCCGTTGCAGAAGTAACTTTCAATATTCCTGTGTAAAAAAAATGAGGTTAAGATTTAAAAAAAATATTACTTAACTATATATCACCACAAAGGGGGGGGGGGAGGATAGGGGGGGGGGGTCTTCCTCTGAACCCTTATAAATTTAGTTATTAAAGCTGGCCACAAGTTAGAGTGAATCATCGATAAGGTGACTGCTTAAAGCTTTGAAATAGTCATGTTTGATGTCAATATAATTTACTGTCAAGCAATCTGGGTAGGTGTTGGTGTCTACCATGGTCAGTTGCATGCATGCAAGGCACCACATAGGTACCTATTTGTTAATTTTCGGTGGGAAATAGGCTTAATGGATATACATACAGGGTGGCCGGACCAATTGACGTCATAAAATTTTTTTTAGGTCGTGGGGTATTCGAATTACCCCCATGTATATTCCGCAATTTTTGATAGTTTTCGAGTTATAATTTTCTTTATATTTTTTTGGTAAATTTCGACTGGCCCGTCTTCAAAAATTAAAAAAAAATATTTGAAGACTTTTTTGAGATTTTTTATTTTTGCAAATGAGTCTTCATGAGTTGTCCTTTTACGCATAAAATAATCAACCAAAAATTTCATCACTTTTAGTAAAGATACGTACTAAAAGTGATGAAATTTTTGGTCTAAAGTTAAAAATTTACGTTTTGAGAGTTATTTCTTAAATTCTTAACTTTAAATTAAAAATCTAAAAAGGTGGAAATTCAAAATCTAAGCCTTTCTAAAAATGCGCCAGGCTCTTAGCTTTCATAATCATAAAAAAAATTACTACTTAATAGGACTTATTTGGCTAAAATCAGTCTTCAAAGACAGCAAGTTGGAAAATTATTAAAATTAGCCAACTAAATTTTTTGCTATAATCATCTTTCATGAGACTAATTACTTTCTTAAGTACTAAAAATAACTGCACATCACTTTGGTTTAAACATATGGACGTTTTCGGGTCATTTAAAAATTTTGAAGTGGTATTAATTTTTTCACTTTTAGTTTAAAATTTGATGCAAAAACGACCGTTTGCCGCGGATCATGGATTATAAACAGGGTAACTTTTTACCTGCAATAACAAAAGGATAATAAGAGACCATATTGCTATCTCTCTCAGTCTTGATGGCGTGAGGGGCCGAGCGCAACCGAATCAACGCAAAACAAGTTCGTTAGCTACGAACCAACTTCAGTAGTGTTCGCTGCTACTTGTGTCGCCATTTTGTTTGCCTATGCTCTCGGACTCCGCCATTACTTACTTGTTTGACTACTTTGCTCGTTTACTGGACTCTGTTTTACATTCTGATTTAGCCGTTGTTTACTTGAAAGTGTAAGAAATGAGTTACACTTTAAGTTAGTATGCAGAAATGCATTATTTTTATGGAGTTCCACGAGGAAACGGCGTTGAAGCAGCGCGTCTGTATCGCGAACAACTTCAACGTCGTGGTGGGCCGCAACCGCCGTCTTATCCCGACCATCGTATTTTTATTAACACTCACAATACCTTGATGGCAGGCCGCATTCCTGGTCAACGCGGAAATCATGAAGGAATCCTTAGAGCAGACCCTGATCGCAGAGAAGTGTTTCCTGGAAGAGGTTGAGAGAAATCCGTCAACGAGTACGAGGGTACGACTTTCCATTGACGTCAGTGGAGTTTGGTGTTGATACGTATTTTTACAGAAAGATTACACTATTATAAGCACACACACAAAGTCTCAATATACGGAAACGCGTAATTTTTGAGAAAAGAATAATTGAAAATCAATTATTCTTGCAATGTTTATGTCTAATCTGCTAATAAACTGGCGCCATTTTGTAATGTCATTGTCGACGTCAATAGGGATGTCGATTCTTTCCGAAAAAGGTCGATTTTTAAATCGATTCAAATCGTAAGCTGATGTATCGATTCCCAAAAAATCGATTTTTTTTCATGTTTGCATTTATAATGTAAATATAAATCCATTTTATGAGAAAAAAATCCCCTTCATCATAAAAAAATAAGGGGACTGATTCATAAGGATTTCTGTATCTATTTTGAGACTGCTACGTCTCCGGCGCTGCGGGAAGAGCAACCTCTACGCCTTAGCGTAACAAATCGCAGGCATCCCTCCTCGCCTCCGCAGCTTCGGCTTGTTGGTCGCCTTCGGCGACCAGCCTCAGCCACTCCGGCTCGTCCGTTGCCTACGATTTGTTACAGCAGGCGGAGGCTGCTCCCCCTACGCGCCTCCGGCTCTATAAAACCACTCTAGGGGTAGGACAGACTCGTACCAGGTGGAGTCGGGGTCAATCAATTCGGTTCTTTGACATAAGTTGAACCTAACCTATTTTATTTGTTATCTGCCCTAATAGGTACTGTTAAATAAAACAAATTTCAATAAGAGATCATTTATCATGGTATCTTTCTTGTTTTTCATAAAATGGGTTTATATTTACATTATAAATAGAAACATTAAAAAAATATAGATATTTTAGAAATCGATTTTTTGTGAACCGATACATCAGCTTACGATTTGAATCGATTTAAAAATCGACCTTTTTCGGAAAGAATCGACATCCCTATTGACGTCGACAATGACATTACAAAATGGCGCCAGTTTATTAGCAGATTAGACATAAACATTGCAAGAATAATTGATTTTCAATTATTCTTTTCTCAAAAATTACGCGTTTCCGTATATTGAGACTTTGTGTGTGTGCTTATAATAGTGTAATCTTTCTGTAAAAATACGTATCAAAACCAAACTCCACTGACGTCAATGGAAAGCTAAGCCAGTACGAGAGCTATGGCTCGTGCTCTGGACATCCCAAGGTCTTCTATCCAAAGCATACTTCACGAAGAAGGATACCACGCGTACCAAATTCAACGAGTCCAAAGTTTACTACCTGCAGACTATCAATTGTGCATTAATTTTTGCCAAACCATGTTATAAAAACATGAAGAGGATCCTGGTTTTTTCGATAAACTACTATGGTCGGATGAATCAAGGTTTGAGCGATGTGGGATATTCAATATCCATAATTACCACACGTGGGCGATTGAAAATCCACACTCTGCGAGAGCTTCAACGTTCCAACATCGTTTTAGCGTTAATTTTTAGTCTGGGGTCGGAACTTACATGACCTGCCGGACCTAAAAAAAAATTTATGACGTCAATTGTCCGGCCAACCTGTATAAGTTCATATCATGGAGATTATCTCGACAAACTATTTTACCATGTACTAATCTATGCAAAAGTTTAGCTTAACAAGTAGTAATCAAAGAACTAAAAATAACTTGAAGTTTGCTTTTACATTTTATTACGAGGGCGGCACTGAAAATTTCGGGAATCAAGGAAGTGACACAACATTACTATTTAAAAATGTATTTATTGCTTTTCGAATTCCCCGCGAAATTTGACACATTT